ATAGAAAAATACAACAGCATCACGAATTAAAGCGACATTTTATTTTAATTACATTCGCACTTTTGTGCGTATAATTGGTTTTTCGATAATGGCAAAAAATGTAGCGACATTTTTTTCTCTCTCCTCGTCACTCGTTTATATCAACATTTGCTGTTTACACGTGTTACATGTTGACACGACACACGCCAGGTACGGAATTGTAATTTTTAATTCAATTTTCGATTTTATTTGATTTGTTTATTAACTTTTTCAATCATGACAACTCACGCGCGGTATGTCTATTTTCATCGGCCATATTCACGCACTCGCATTGCGTTAATGCAGACATGATTGATTTGATTAAATGCCGTATCGAAAAATTTCAATATACGGAAAAAATTTTGCATGCCCGAATTCGCATGTTATACAATAAATGGAGTTTTATTAAATTTCATTACAGCGCAATTGCAATTGCATTTGTGTAAAATGCTGCAAACGTGTAGCAATTAATTCTGTTTAAATTTCCAATGGAAAATTTCAAATTCAATTGTTGCAAAATAGGTTACACAATAAAATAAAATAAAAAAAAAGTAATTCTAAACTTTCTAGACATTCATATCATAAAAGGATTTTTATGATTTTTTTTTTTAATATTAAACTTTAAAATGATATGATGTGTGAAGAACACAACAGAACTTGAAGGAACGGAAAAAAATCCAGACGTGATAAATGAAAGAAAGCATGATAGTCGCCGTAAAAGTATCGAATTACCTGTGTGCCCAAACTTGGCCACCGAAAGTTTTTAATTTGACGGAGGATGAAAGCATTAAATTTGAAACCCGAGACTACCTATCATATTTCTCATTTTGATCAACGTAAAAATAAAGAAAAATCATTCATGAATTATTCTAATGACACAGCTGGATGGGAAGCTACCTTGTTTAGCACTCAAATTATTCCAAAAGAAACAAATAAATTTTATTTTAATTTTTTTCTTATTTATTATTTATTCATATTTAAATTTAACTGCTCGACTATAATTTTTATCCGCATGATAAGAAACAGCAGTTTCATGAAGTGTGCAGTTAAGCACTCGACAGGAATGTGTAGTTTGTGGGAGTAGAATGGGTTGCACCCTGCAGGAAGTCCGCTCGAACGACGCTGGTGAACTCTACATAACCTACTTCTCTATCATTGTCCCAAACAAGAGCTTTGCCAGAGCTTAAGACAATCGATTTATTAGACTTTATGTTTAGATTTTATTACTACTACACTTTCCTCCATATAAAACACAATAAAATATAAATTTAACTACGCTTTTATTTAGTTTAAATTTACTTGACGTTTTGTTTCACTTTAAATTCTTATTCTTCGTATTTATTTATTACGACGTGGGTGTACCCAACACACCTCCGGAGGTTTTTTCTGTTTTTGATTCGCGTTTACTTTGCTGCGTTTGCTTTTGATTTTGATTCCGCCCTCGGTGTTGTTGTTAGTGTTCCTGTTGAACAGTAAACTAAAGTCGTAACAGGCCAACAAGTACAAGACAACAAGTCGCAACAACAGCGATATTCTCTGCTGGCGCTCGTTATTTGTTTCGGAATTTTGCGTTTTATTCGAATGCTGCACGAGTGGAATTGCATAATAGTGAGCTTTTTTACTTTTGGTTTATATGAAGAGTTTAGTTTACTCGCGGATTGTTTACGTACGCTAAGTTTCTTCATTTTATTACAATAGTTCTGAGATAGTAAACTGAATAAATTTTTGAGTTTTAGTGGTGCAGATTTTTATTTTTCAATCTGTGCGACTCCTGAAATTGAATAAAAAAACAAATCGCGGATCATTAGCACGTCGCGCGACGCGCATCTGCACCTGACTCGTACAAATCGCCATCATTTATGATCCGGGGCGCACACGTCAAAACTTAATGATGGCCCCCAACGCGAGTATCATCCGTTCGACCGCAAAGTCGACGGGCGATCGCCGCCGCCGGAAAATTGATGGCGACGAATCACAATAATGACAAGCGTCCGCATTTGCGGCGGCCGAATGACCATTTCATGATGCTCAATATTATCGCCCATGGTTCGTGACGTTATGACGTTCTATTAGCGGTCGGATATTAATGAAGCGAATTATTAAATCATTCACTGCACAAACTGCACATCTGCGCTAACTCAACAACGAATTAGATAAGTAAATAATGAAATTTTCAAAGTGTTGTGATAAAAACCAGAAAACAGACCGATTTTTAGTGGCTACAAATTCAAAGCTCAAGTAGCACTTAATGTTCTGTTTCAAGTACAAGTATGTGCTTTCTATTGTATCTTGGTAAAGTTAAAACAAAGCAGTTGTTGTTTAAAGACGATTATTGCATACTGCACGTAGATGTGAATCTAAATTACTCCTCGCGCTGTATAAGAAAGGCCGAAGAAATTCATGCACAGCGGAGAAGTTCCTCGGCGACCAGCCGAATCGCCATTATAGTGTCGGGGCTCGCCCATAGTCGAGTGCATTTATGGTAATGAATCGCCGGAAAGCGCTTAAATTATATGCCATTTAAATGTTTTAATGGCCCGATAAAAAACGTGCTCTATTTGTTAATTATCTTTTATCATGTTATATTACACTTGTCGAGGCACTATGTTATTCACCAGACAATTGATCAATACTGAAAACTTTTCAAAAACACACAAAAAAAAATTTTATTATCAAAAATCGAAATCACAAATTTTAAATTTATGTCACTTGTAGCCGTAAAAAAGCGTCACCTAGTTTGGGCCGCGTATATTTCCCAGCGCGTTCGAGTTGTGCGGACATTCCGACAGCAGGAAAATCTGGGACAAAGTGATAAAATCTCTTCATTTACCTCTTTACCTCTGCGCGCGCGCTCGGCGTTGCAGTCACGTATAAAACAAAAGCACATCGTTGCCCAGGAATGGCAACTGGAACGCAAACGCAAAAGCACTACCACTGTCAGTGGAAGTTAGTTCTATTGGCTTTTATGCTCGATTTTACTTTTATATAAAGACGAAAAGTATAAATAAAGTTTTAAACTCGCACTTGAAGTTACAACCACCCAGCCGCCAGCGCTGCGCGCAATGCTTTGCAATGCAGCGCATAAAAAGCATTTCATTAAACAACAAAACAACAAATGTAGTTGTAGTTTTAATTTTAATTTAATCGCATGCATCTAGAGTGCGGAAAACATCTGCAGCTTAAACAGCTTTAAATTTATTACTGCCGCTTATTTTATTCATGAAATCACAATATTTATTTCGTTTGCAAGCATGGAACTTGAAGTGCACTTCATTTTATTTTTTGTTATTAATCTGTTTCTACCTGGGTGTATTCACCCAGCTTGAGATTGAGAGGGTTCTTTGTTAACTGTTGTTACTTCGAAAACATTGTACTCTACATGGGGTGCACGTTTGTGTCGTCATACGAATAACATTAAACGATATCGACTGCTATTGTATTGAGACTGCAACTTATTTCGGGATGACGTTTTGCCAAATACCCATTTCGGTTTACACGCCATTGAACGATTTCAGTTGTGTATTATTACGACTTCGGGCGAGACTGGGCTCTAATCGGGGTGGAAATAAAAGAGAGGAGCTTGAAAAACTGTTTTATAAACGGTATACCGGTATTTTAATGCTGATATTTTGAAAATACCGGTATTTATAAAATTAATTATGTTTTAATTTTAAAGAAATTAATTAATTAAACATAAGAAATTTAAAAAAATACCGGTATACCGATTTTAATACCGGTATTTTGGGGATACCGGTAATACCGGTATTACCAAAATTATTATTGTCTTTAATTTTAAGAAAATAAATTAATGAAACCTTAAAACAATACCGATATACCGGTTTTAATACCGGTATATTGAAAATACCGGTAATACCGGTTTTTATAAAAAATATTTTTTTCTTTAATTTTAAGAAAATTGATTAAATAAACCTAAAAAATAAAAAAATACCTGTATACCGATGCTAATACCGGTATTTTATAATTTTTAAAATTAACCACGTGAATGAATCCAAACCATAAAAATAATTGAATTAAATTCACACACGTTTCGCACACGTCTGAAAATTTTAATATGTTTTCTCTTCCGGTTTCACATCCAATTCCATTGATTGTATTTTTGCCTCCCCGCCTCGAGGCCACCAAAAATACCGCTTGTTATGAAATTTTTCAAAATTTTTTCTCATTGCTTTACAACTCATGATAAAACATCCGGTATACTTTATATATTGTTCCAGGAATATGCATAATATGTACACCATGTAGACACGTATGTGAATACGTACCCTTGACTGATTTATCGCTTTCAATAATTCGTCGCATCGGCATGTGTTTCGGCCGCGTGCGTTTGGGGTTTGGTCGCGTCTCGCATGCGTGCGTTTTTTACACGCCTGCTAGTTATCAGAGAATGGATGATGGCGTCACATTTTTTATACGCGTATTAACTACCATTACCCTGATATGATGATATGACCTACGGGCACTGCTACTGCATTGCATTTTTTTATTATACTTTATATCATTAAGTATTAGGGTACGTACCCTTGGATTTGAAATCCGGGACATTTTTAATTTGTTGCGTAAGAACTGTGGTATTGTATAGGATAACGTGTTCGTAGATCCGTGACCGTACTATTCATCCCCTGAATTTTGGGGTTGTGCGAACATTTGTACTCGCATTCGCATTGAAAATGTCAATACGCGGCCATATTTTATTATCCAATTGATAGAAAAATCGTTTCGACGGGCGGCAGGCGGCGCATGAACGACGGGGATAATCAGGCGAGATTATTAAACTGTGTTAACCCCTCGTCAATATGCTCATGCATGTTTTTCGAATAAAAGCGAACAATCGAACGGTTTCAACAAATCAAATATTCAAATTCACTCTGACGCCTACCGAAAACCAATAAATAAAATTTTAATTCCTCTCAAAAATAAAAATATGTTATTTTATTAACAAAAAATTTCTTTGTTTGTTTCAGGTGAGTCTTTGACGATCGTTTTGAAAATCCATGCTTCCGGACGACCTTTCAAAGGTATTGGATAGTTACAGACACGATTGTAGTTGAAGCCTGCACTCGCTGGTTGTTGTAGCGGACTCGGGTGCATTGTGTCCGGGATTGTCTAGAGATCTTTCTCGACCCGTTTCGGGATTAAGTCAAAGCTCCGCGCCCGAAAAAAAAAAAACGCGCTCCACTCAACTGCTAATACTCTCCAGCCTCGCATTTACTTCCTCTATTCTTTATCGGACCCGAGTGGTATTTTCCACTATTGTACTCTTCAAGTACCACTACCACTAGTCGTTTACTATATCAAATATCTCCGATGCACCCTAGGCGTTTACATGATTTTTTTTCTATTTTTAAACAAGGGTAGAAGGTATTTCCAAAGTTCCTATGTAGGTTAAATTTATTTATTACTCAATAATCAATTGTTTGCGCTTGTTTTTCAAGTGTTTGCCAGACAATGCGCATAATAATAAACTAGCGAACGTGATTGTGTCATTTCCAGGGGTCCTCCGCCCTGATACGTGATTACCGCGTGCGGCACTCGAGCGCGAATGCACACATGCACGCGCGCTATAATATATTCCAAATAGAATAGAGAATAGATTGAGATTGGGAGGGCTCTTCCCGAGGAGGAGCGCCTTCGCTTTTTGGACGCTTCCATCCATAGGGTGATGATATACCGGCATATCCCAAACCCAGTTTAAACGAACGTAAACGTTGAGATCTGCTGGGAACTGGTTCATACTCGCAAGCAGGTTCATCACGGTCCGTCCTTTGTACTCAATGGCGACCTTACGTCGCTGGGTGTCCTTATGTCTTTCAAAGTGGAAATTTACGAAGAGGTGCATGGCCTGCATTCAATGAATGCCACGCCATGGCAATTTCTATTATGTTTAAACGTGTGCGGAGGGTTCATTCAGCGCGACCTCTGAAGGGCACTTCTTTATGCACTTGAACCACTCCTTAGTCAGTCTTCACGCCAAGGCGACAATTCACGTCTCTGTATAGAGAGATTAGAACTAAACGTTTTATTAAAAACCTGAGCGTTAAGAATAGAAAGCTGTTAAAACTATTTTATAGAGATTTGAAGGGTTTTGGGAGTGGGGGAATGCAGGATTTAAAATTTGATAAATTCTTGTATCCGTCCATATTTACGTTGGGAAGTTTCAGCCAACCTAGCATGTCGCAAAGTGCACACATGCCTTAAGGTGTGTTTGCAAACCCACTCAACCCTCATGCTCTTGCTCATGCACGGCATACTTTAGTACTGGTGGTGGTGGTAGTGGTGTGTTTGGAGTCCTTGCAGTTTGCACTCGGTACACGCTAACAGCCAGCGGGTCGCCGCAGCCATTGAGCAAATAAATCGATTGTATTTTCATGCATATGTCCGCCTCCCTTGTTGTTTTGCTCAAAGCTCTGACGCGGAGGAGGAAAATCGAAATAAAAGCAAATCTTCTTTGCATAGCAATAAGAATCGTACGTGCGTGGTATGGGGCAATATTGATAACATGCGTGTAATGAATGAATGCACAATATGCACCCTTGGCGTTTTACAAAGCAAGTACAAATCGAATCGAATCAAAGCGCGATCAACGAATCAAAAAATACACAATTAGAGTAAACGCATTTATTATTTACTATTTACATACGCGTGTCGCAAACAGAATTATTGTAATGCAATCGATCAATCATTTTAATGCAATTTTAATTTAAATCTACTTCAAAACCAAAAAAAAAAAAAGAAAATTTTGTCAAAAATTTAATTCTATTGTGTTACGAGTTCGCTATGTATGACTAACCTTAACCTAACTTCTAACCCCTCTGTGTTACTATGCGGCTGTTGTAACAAGGCCCGGTGTTACTTTGATATATTCACATATGCAACCCTCGGATCTCTCTACGTACACCCACCCACTCCACCCGAAAACACACGTGAGGGGATGCTGCACGTAGAAAGGTGAAGTAGCAGTAACTGAGGGTGACTACATCCGCGCTGGTATGGAAAGTGTTTCCGAATGTGTGCCTTGAGTGCTTCGGAATCGCACGCGCGATGTATATGTATGAGATTAAACGGAACTTGATCAATCATTCATCAAGATGGCATCAGTGGCACGGCAACCAGCCTCACGTGCATCTAACCTCAACTTTACGCATATTAGATGATACGATTAGGCTAGGCAACCAGTGTATACTTTCATTAACGTCTATTATCATTATCGTACAGCGTGCTATTGACAAATTGTATTATTTGAAGGAATTTAGGTTATCTTGGAGGAAATTAATGTCAAAATCAAATTTAATAAGCTTTATTTTTCTAGTTTATGAATTTCTCTGTCCCTGTTTGCGAATAATTCATACTTTACTGCACGATATTTCACCCCGAGGGTGGAAAATATGCAGCACACATCGTACATTACACTGGAGGACACCCTGCGATGCACCTTTGTCAGTATATTACGCGGGGCAGCAAGCGCCCTTAATAAAACATCCATCCCCCCAATTTGGCGGTACGTACACCTACAATACAACACTCTCTCTTTCCAGCCGTCCGCACCTACCCCCAAACATTGCTTGCATCCAGCCGCCTGTAATTTACATCATGCCCCGCGTTCGGTTTTGATCCGCATGAGTCAATCTGGGTGATTGCGATTGCAATTTACAAGGAACCGCAAGCAACTTGCTGTGGACCTTTGAGTTCATCGTGTTGTGATGGATAAGGAAAGATTCGGTTTGGTTTGCTTTTTTTCTGTTTGGATGTGGATGGTGAAGGCAGGAAAGTCGGCTAATGGGCTTTAGCGTTACGAATTTACCAATTTCAACACCCTCCCTTATTTGCCGACGCTAGTGTGCATTCTTTATTCCCGTGCGGGGCGGGCGTGTTGTTAGCATAAGCGTAAGACGACACACGAGTGAATCTTGTGATATAAAAGAGTAATGCACAAAGAATGTCATGGTAGACTACATAGGATCTACAGAGTGTTCATCAAATACCTAAAACTCTTACAATTGATTAAACACCCTTAAAATTCTTTAAAACTAATGAAATCATCATAATTACGCAGTGAAATTTTTGGTTTTGAATTTAAAGTGATTTCTAACCTTATTCTATATATTTACATAGGTGTATTGTGTGTTGCGTGTCTTAGAAAGGACACAGAATGTCATAAAACGTCGTCCTGGACGTTATTGACGAAGGAGACAGCCCCAACTTCCACCGAAGACATAAAAAACACATTAACCGAATGCAATTTCAAGGAATTTAATTAAATAATAAAAATTCACCGATACACCGGCTTAATTATTACCGACGGGCGCAGTATCAGAGTGGAATTAAATTTGCATAATCGCAAATAATAATCTCCACTAATAACAGGCCGCTATATAAAATTAATTTCAAGCGGGTTTCACATCGACGAGAGGTATTTAGTTGCAATTAGAATTATAGCAACACAGAAAAATATTCAATTTTTTTTAAATAAATTTTTTACATTTACATTGAGTATTGCGCAGTCATCTAAATTAAATTAATATTTCGAACGTGTGCCGATGCATTACGCGCGGAAATCCATCCTTGTGTATGCAGTCGGTGCTTCCTGCATCACGCCACCCCTATATGTGTATATAATTCGAGCTGCGCTTATGATGCAATAAGTAAAAAATGATGTATTGTTGTAAAGTGCGCAGGCGGATTTAAAGCCTTCGGATGGGGAAATAAGGCAAATTTGTTACGGTTTACACATCGCTCTCTCGCCCCCCCCCAAACGAAAAAACAGCCCGGCCGGCTTTCGGCTGCTGGCTAGATTAAACTTTCCGAGGGCGAGTTGATTGATGGTCTTACAATAAAGTACCATTACCATTAGGCATTCAACAAGACAAGACGACAACACGTCGACGCACAACGCACGCTGTGGAATAAAACCACTTGCCGAGACTGATGCAAATGTTACGCGTCGGGGATTTTCAATAATTTCGATTAAATTCCAGCAGTTCATCGCATTCCACGTTGAAGATATTTGAAAAATTGTTTTTGGTGTGTGTGTGTGTATGTGTGGAACAAAGGAAATTTTAATTGTAATTGTCAATCAGTGGTTTGTCTGCGTCTTTGTGACGCAATGACGTGAAAATGCAAAATGTCATTTTCACGACGCGTGTCGGCTGACTTTTCTGATTATTTCCTCGACCGCAATCTTTGCTCTTTAGGGAGTGCGGTAAAATGTTACGACACAAGCGCGCGCGGCGGGTTATTACGGAAATAACGCCGGTATCGAACAAGCGGCTGGAAATTTCGAATTTCAAAAGGCAATTAAAGCGAAAGGCAATTAAACGTCGCGTTTAACGCAGAAGGTAAGCGCCATCCAAGCGCAATCAAAACAAGGCAATCTCGGCTAATAGACGACGGGCGGCAACAATATCGAAATGATTATTCGCAAGTTTCGGGGCTGGAATTTCACAAACAGTAGACAAAGACTCTACTCTCACGTGGGACAGCCCAAGGACCAACACAACACAATATTGTTGAGAGTGCTGTTGATGGAGATTGTGATTGAGAAAGGGCATGTTGAGAAACTCGTAATCGTAGAAGCAATCGCAATGAGGACGTAGGACTTGCCGGGCGTCGATTTCATCATCAGGTGGTCCATTCCGAATCGAGAATCCCCACAAGACATTCGACATCCATTACGCAAATTTCCTCTCTTCGTGCCGAGCAAGTCTACAACTCACCTCTTTGCTTAAACTCTAGTAATTTATATTGATGAAATATTTCCTTCAAATTTTAAGCAAAAAATATTTAGTTAGTAATTGGATACTCTTTTGATCAAAAGGTTTTTTTAGTTTAACCCGAGCCTCATTTAAGTCTATTGTTTGTAATGTAATAACATTTCAAGGGGTTTTGTGCATCGGAGTCAAGGGCACTTTTAAATTTTCTCTTTTTTTTTGCTCTCTGCGTTTTTTCTTTGTGCTTTGGCGTTTAGTTTTTTTCGAAAATGCTCTACTCAACTCTTGACTGCTGACTGACCCGGGTCTGCTTAGGACTTTCTTACATTTCCTCCCCTTCTTCATCTACTTACTCATGGTCGTCTGCAAAGTTAGGCGCAAGAATGCATGCTTTGTGCGTCCTCTTACCGAATAGTTGCTTCCGAGCCTTTAGGTAGCGTTTCCTCGGGTTTCCTTCATGACTTGAAAAAGTCTGCGAGTAATCAAGACTCGAGTGGATGAAACTCGCCTCGTCATTCAATACACTTCTTTATTTTACACTTTCCAAGGCGGTGAGGAAAAGGTGACATCAAGCGCGGGAATACGAGGAGAGTATATTGGAAAAGTGTGCACTGGAGGGAAATAAATTGCGAATCAAAGCGCAAAAACAACAACAATAAGTTTTCAGATGAAATTTAAGAGACAATTGAGTGAAAAGTGAAGAAACTTCATTTATTGATATTCGTGAATTATTTATTAGTTTTTGTATTGTTTTGATATCTTGGAGAAAATCGGCGACTTTATGAAACGAAGCAGGAAGTGAAAGAAAAAGGAACAAAACACAGCGATATTGATCCGAAATTGATGTAATTTGAGAGATACGAAGTCTCAAGTCATCGAGACGCGTCTTGCATCTCCGATTCTGCATTTCATCAATTAGTACCTACGTTTTTTTTATTCATAACTCGCGTATTTCCAACCGGAAATGTGAATATTTGAATTTAAATTTCCAAGAAATACTATTTTTAGCTGTCATTGTCATACCCAATGTTGCGTGCTGTGTGCACCAGCGATAGCAAAATAAAACCGAAAAGATATTCGCTTCGTCGAAACTCCAGCAGAGAAGCAAAGAGGAAATCTTTCCACTTCATCCCGTATCAATGCGCTCCGCGATCGGTTGAGCATATGTGACAAGAAAGCGCAATGGGGATTGAAGAATGCACCACGATTCTTCTGCAGTGCATCCACCAAGTCATCTAATAATACATTTAAAATACATCCATGGATGATGTTGGGAATGAATGTTTTGACGACACTCGGTGTGTGCTTGTGTGCGCTTAGTGCATTATAGTAACAATCCGGTTGTTCCTGTTGTTGGCGCGCGTTGTTTTCCTCCGAAATACCTTCGCTGTCGCTCCGGCTGCACTTGATTTCTTTTGACAACGCCAGCGAGGAGAAATCCCGTCGTGGAACACAGTCAGGACTACATTTTCGCCGAACTCCTGCGTGTCATGACAAACGGATATCGACTTGTAGATATACTTTTCGTAAATATACCCACCTAAGTGTGTTGGTTTATTTTATCACGTTTTTCGTGGTCTAGACTCGCCAAATATTCCATTATAAGCCAACAAAAGCAAATAAATTGATTGCAATTTTGTTCGATTTTCACGTCAATTGCACCTTTAACAATTCCAACGACGCCTTCTGCGGAGGCTTCTTGTAAGTTTTCATCTCATCCAATGTGTTATTTCGTTATTTGGTTATTTCCTTCGCGCTATTAAAAAGGCTTTGCGAGTGCTTCACCTGCCGCCCCCGACGCTTCACATATCCTGGTGTGGTGCGGTAAACGATTCGAAAATGATTTCGCCACAGCCAGACCACTTTTGCAAGAAAGCAACCCATTCAACCAACGGCGTACGTGCATGAGCATGTGAGGAAGCGAAGAAAAAATATAACGCGCAAAAGGGAAAAAGAAAACGCGGCCGGAAATTGTTCGCGCTTAATAAAATTTACACCACACAAAGGTGTGAACAGCCATCGTACTGATATCGAGCGTGAAACATGCGTGCGAAAATTATTTTTCAATAAAATTCTTAATTTGTGCTAATTTTTAAGAAAAAAAGTTTTAAAATCCACACATTGGTATATAATATGCTCATATTTATGAAAACCAGGGGAAAATGATGTTTTTTACTTGTTTTGTTTATTGTTTGGTGCTTTTAAGGGTAGTGCCTGTATGAAAAATGCAAACGCGCTACGGTGAACGATTTGACGTTTAATTTTGCGTGTTTGGAAAGCAATTTTTTGATAACGGCCATAACCGTAAACACGTAATCTCGAATTTCTATTATACGTCAGTGTTCTGCTTTGCGTCTCGCGTGAAAGCGCGCCGTTTGCAATATTTTCCGGCAAAACCATGAAAAAATAAATGTAAAGTTACACCGAAAATAGGACAAGTTTACACAGTATGTGTATTAAATATAGTGAAAGGCATTTTCAACAAAAACAACAACTGAAAAATATATGAAATTTTAATTTAAACGTATAACTAAAGTTTTTATTAAAATTTTTAGTAAAAAATCAAAAATTTGATTTTTATGCATTTAAAAATGTCAAATTTATAGTTGGTAAAAATTCCAATAGATGTCGCATGTTGTTTGAGGAGAATTTTTGACGGAATGTCAAAAAATTAGTTGATTTTTTAACTGAATCGACCTGCAGGCATTCACTCCCGAGTCAGAATGCCTCTCCGCGAGTTTTATCGCTGGAGCCCTTCGGCGTCGCGCCCGGCCGCCGCATGCGCACACCGCCCCATCGCCGGTCTTATCGAGTGCGGCGGGAGACAAGAGTGCGCCGTTCGTGCCGAACACCCCCACTTGGTAGTGAGCGTCCGTGCGTTCCGCGTCGCGTCCGCATCGCACGATCCACACACTCTCTCTCGCCGATTGTGCGTGAGCGCACGCGACCCAACAAGTATCCCGAGCCTCCTCTCTCATAATGTGTACGCACACTTTGTCGAAACCATTCGACGGCTAAGTTTTTATCGAACTCTCGTGCGCGGTCCGGAAACGCGACAGTAAAAGTGATGTGTGTCGGAAATGTCGCGTTCGTATTCACGAGCCGGCGCCACCGCCGCTAGCGCTCGCGATCGCGATCATTACTCCGCGCATTAATAATTCCCAGCGTCGAGCAACAGTTCACCGCGTCGATAAACAACAATGTGAAAAGATAAAGAAACGTAGACGAAAACTGTAAACATTGAAACACGTTTTGGTTTGATTTTTATTTTTATATACGGTTAGATTGATGAAACTGTTACAACCTGAACTGAACTGAACTGAGAACAAAAAGTGCTGTGAAAAGGATAATAACAAACGTGCAAGGATAAAGGATTCTTTTTTTTGCGCTGGGGGTTTAAAAAGCAAGTGAGGCGATATTCGTTGTGCGGTTTTCTTGCTTGCGGTTTACGGTTCGCCGTTTGGGTTTCGGCTGATTTTTTCGGTGGAGACGCCTCGAATCCTGGAAACCTAGAGGATAAAAGATGGATGGTTACGGGCCCAGGCCGCCGCCGTTACCGCGGCGAGTGCGGAATATTTATGCGGAGCCATTTTCGCATGAACCTAGGTACTTACTATTTTTCATTTGAATGTTACTATTGCCATTAATGCTATTAGCCGCAAGCGGATATCAGCGAGTCTTCAACGTGAATATGAACATTCGATGTAATAAATGTTGAAATATCGAATTTCTGAAGACATTTCGATAGAATAAATGTTGTTTTTCACTTAAATTAATTTTCTTTTCGAAATTATTCGACTCTGCGCTGAGAATTCGATAATATTTTCTTCTACTTTCTAACTTTTGACTGTTTTCACTCTGTTTAGTTATCCTAGCAATGTGAGGACGCTAGACTCAAAACTCACCATACAATTGTGAGTAATCTGACCGATTGGTTGTGTGGTAGACCAGTTTTTACATAATTTAAAGAAAATTGTGTGTTTTATTTTTGATTGATGTCATATTCATCATTTTCATACCATCAAAACGTATTTTAAGCATTTAAAAGATGAATTTGTAAATAGAAGTACAAGTAACTTCAGAATTTTAGGTTTTGAGTGATGTTCTAATTCCTGGTAATTTAGATATCTGTGTTTGTGGGCTAGGAGCTTTCTCTTTTCATCTTTGCGCCCCCGCGCGGAGATTATGTGTTCTTCAGCGCGAAAATTTATCGCTTGTCTTTAGCTCTTTTCTTGCGCCCGCTTTTTATACGCAAAGACGAAAAAAAAGCATCGAGCGCGTTTCTGCACGTTTCATTCGGCGATGAAAAATATTCTGCAATACCGTTCTGGGGTCTATTTATTTATATCTTACGGCAAATGGCGCAAAAGAAGCAAAAAGGAGGAAAAACGTGTTGCTGCAATGAAAAGATAAAGTATGCGGGCGCACTTGGGGATTTCCCGCGGGCCGAAACCGAGGCGAGCGCAACGTCTGCGCGCACTCCTCGGCGCTTCGTAATTCTTCAATTTCTATTCATTGCCGACGTCGCTCGCCGCCGCCGACAGCGACAACACACGCGTTCGATGAAAGCAAACTCGGCAAACCATACAATTCCTGCGACTTGAGAGACGTTAGCGTAAACCCAACATAAAGTAACGCAACCCAATGTACACGTAAATAAAATACAACGCGCTATGTGTAGAAAGTTAATTTTTACTCTATGCAACCCACCATACACATTTTCATGTATACATACAATATATGACATTTTTCGACTTAATATTATATTTGAATGCATTTTATGCTTGTTTGTTGCTTTCTAATAGAAAAGAACATGTGTAACAGCAAGGGAAACTTCAAACCGAGAATTTGAAACCCAAAACATAGCACACAAGCACCAAAGTTCATGCCTTGCCTTTAAACACTGTAGTTTTTTCTTGCTGCAAATCCAAAACATCAGAAACACGCGAAAACAACATCAAAACGAGGACTATTTGTTTGGCACACACATAAATATAAAGTGGATGTGAGTCTGTGAAAACGGATAAACATAAAGATGGAAAATACGAGCCGAAACTTTTCCAACCGAATAAATAAAAACATTGATAGATGTGAATTCATTTGGAGTTCAATTCTATAACAGCTAATTCTTGTTTTGAATGTCAACCCGAAAAAAAAACCGGTTCAATTTGATTCGCAACGATGGACTAATTCCCGACAATGAATTTTTATTGCTCCATCCGCGTATTTACATGAATATATTATAAGTATTTTTCAATTCCTCTCCGGCGGCGTTTTTGTTCGATTGAAACATTATCTTTTATTGAAATGCGGCGGCAGCGGTGTGCGACGGCGGCGATGGCGGAGGCGCGCGGTGCTTTTATTCGTCCGGGAAGCCGAGAAATTGATTGCCGAATCGCTGGGAATGATCAGAAAATATGTATGGCCGGCATACCGATGTTGGAATTGACGTTTTTACGCCGCAACGTACCGTGTATTTTCTCACGTTTGCCGCGCGCATTTTCCAATTCCTCCTCGTGTGCGTTTCGTTCGTTTCGTGCATCCGGCACGGTTACGTCTATTTTTACATTCCACATTATTTTCCCCATTTGCATTTTTCCCTATATTTCCCCTCAAACGAGTGCCAGTTTTTATCTGCGCACACAACCAAACGCTTCATTTACTTTGAACATTCAAAAAGTACAAAAAATGCCATTTTTGCAATTGTGTAATTTTGTCGCTTTTTTTGGAATAGAGAGGTTCATTGCACTATAAATCCACCCCCTGACACATTATCTTCTCGCTGTATTTTTGTTGTCACTCATTTGTGTCGCACATTATTGCGCTGCGCCCGTGGTGAACGGATTAACGCGAACGCGTCCTCTTCCTCCTCATTCTGTTGTCCGGAAGACCCCGTGGGAATTTACGTGCTGGCGAATTTATTTAGCTCTCGGGGGGAGGACGCCCGCTGGTGGCCGCCCGCCGCGGGCGCAAAACGGCAAACGAATCAAATTTTGATTGACTCTAATCTAATGCATATTAAAATAAAACATTGCCAACGCGCCACTATAGCATTTCATCCTTTTGCCACCCTCGGCATTATTATGCAAATGCAATCATTGCATACATCTGAATACTGATATCCATATATCAGGATATCGATCTGAAGAAAATAAAATTAAAAAATGCGACAAAACAAATAAAAATCTATTTTTGTCATTTTCTCATTCCGGAATCAAATTACACCGCAATTCTAATCTACGTCGAGTAGAAAAGTGATTTTCTATTTAGCTCTGCAAGGTATAGTCATACAAGACCATTATAAATAGTCGCATAGTTATATAGAGTCGACTAATAATAATGGCCCCGTACTTATCTGCATGTAGATGCCTCTTCGCACGCTTGTATGACTCGCTGCACAAGCGATTTGCGCGTGTACGTGCACTATTATTGTGGGTTAGCATTGTGTGTGTATTGGGTGGGTATGTGTGCGGTCGTGCGGTGACCAGTCGAGCGGGAAATTGCATTTTCATAAGCAATAATGCGACTAACCGAACTCGACCAAGCAAAACGACGCAGCGATACCGAATCCACAGCGCACCAACACACACACACGCAGCGCGAAAGAGCGACCTAAAGAATAACCCAGCTGTACCTAAATACTGGCTTCGTTTTGATATTGCGGGCGAATTCCGTATTTGCCTGCTGGAAAATGAAAAAGAGACTGGTTATGAATTGTGTGTTTGGAAAAACCTACGCTGCGGCGCGCTTATATTAATTGCCCTGGCTTTATAATTGTGTTTATTGGTCGGTAAATTTTAGATTTCATTTTAATTGCAAATTTTGTATTAAAATTAAATTAGGCATGGTATTTTAGAATTTTTTTTTAGCGTATGTTATGGTTTTAATTCAGAAATATTTAAATTAGGGTAAAAAAATATAATTTTTAGAGAAAAGTAGGCAACTCTTGTTGCGACGTCAGAACTTGGACTCAGGCACGACTGAGTGGCGCGGTCAGTGCGCGCTGTTCTTTTATACCTACCTAAGGATATTGGAGGGGGAAACGTGAGTCATCTACGTGGCTTGCCTACGTATTCAATTGAGTTATTATTAAATTACCTTAGTTTATTAATATTCAAACATCAACCAATCAAACTAAATTTACAACCACTCATTTAATTTATTAAAATATAGGGTTTGGTGGTAAATATTTCTTGTTTAAATAACTAATAGTTGCAAGTTGAACAATAAGTGCATGTATAATATAAATAGGCAATGGGAAAACACATGTGACGTGCACCGAGAGTTATTGTTGGCAATTAATGTTTAAAAGCAATCGGAAACGTTGATTGTCGGATACGTTAACGTGGGGCGGTTTGCTGGGGGTGGTTTCAACCGCTTCCGAGACGCGGTATAATTACTACTTACATGTTGCATTCACAATTCACGAATTCACATCTGTAACTGCAAGTTCTAGTTTCTAATTTCTAATAGTCCCACTTTCGGTGAGAGCTATCGGTTTGGGAAACTACCCTACATCACTTAACACACATACCCATACTAAATCATAAGATATCTGTGTGTGTGGGTAAACTTACCCTTTTGGTGATATCTAAAAGGACGAAAATTGTAATTTATTTTATGATGTCTCACATGGGAGGTTATTATAAGGCCGTCAGAAACTTCCACAAGGATAAAAAACTATCTGCGCGAATGTAAAAATACAGAAAAGTTTAATTAAATTTAGTGCATAATTAAAAAAGTTGCTGGAAATTAATTTTTGAATGAAAACAAAAACAGAGTTGCAGCTAGAGTCAGATACAGGGTGTGATAGAAATAATATTGTTGTTGTGTTGATGAATTCCCGCACGGCGGAAATTCTGTTATAAAAGAGCGAAACTTTTGGACTTTAGCGTGCGCGTCGAAAATTCTCTCTCTCATCATGTCGTCAGGGTATTTCGTTTGCATCGTTTAATTTCTAGCGCGCGTGCTACTAGTTACAAGTTTGATTGGCTTTGGGGCCTTTCATTTCATCTCCGCGTGTGTTCGGTTTGCAGTTTCCCATTTCAGCGAGAGTTCCAACTCGTTCCTCCTGTCGCCGGACTTCAACGGGCAAGCTTTGTTTTTAGTTCAAACTCTCTGGCTCTCCATCTGTGTTTTTGTTGATTACGTTTTCAACTTGTGAACTACTGTAGCTGCTATGAACATTGAAATTGCATTAGAAACTTTTCTCTGTATCACATCAATAAATTAATTACGATAAATTCAAAATATTTTCATGTTAAATGATGTTTTTCGCGTGCGTTTACAATTACCGCAAATAAAACGAAAAACTTTTCATAACCCCGGAAGATGAAAAACTTGGCGGTTATTTCGCTTTTTTCGACAGTTTACACGCCGCCCGCGTCTCGCATAATCTCGTTCACGTTGTTCGGGGACTTGTACGAAGGGCTCCAAAGTTTGCGCCTTCGATTAATTCGTTTGCGAAATCGTTTTGCTTGCAACTTCCAGCATACGACATGGATTTTCTTCTAACCCACGGGCCTACCAAGGACTTTGTCTTCTTTATCACTCCTTCCGGATGGGTGTTTTTTTTTCTTGTGCGACAATGTCGTGCGTAGCGGCGATATTTCTCAATTTAAAATTTTCCGCGAATTCCGCACGTCGTCGCGCGACCCTTATAATCTTATTTCGCCGGGTGATGTACGAGCGGAAAGTTTTTCCAAACGGCGCTTTGCTGGCTGTCTAACTACCAACACATACTCGTAAATAGACTACACCCAAAGTACTAGAGTACGTTTTACTGGGCTTTTATTGGATGGCATGTAAGTAAGTGAACAATGTACGCGCGGGCGAAAAGTTAGGGGGTTTGTTTGATGGGAACCCCCGTGGCAATAAATGCTTGGAGCAAGAGGGTGGTGGTGGTACGCGAATCATGCGCGGCATTTAAATCGCTTCCTAGGGCAAGAAGTCAGGCATGGTCAAAACGTAGCGACTATAAATATCTTTGGAATTATGAACATGAGGGGGTTTACTGAGGTTTTCTCTATGATAAATACAAGCTAATATTCTGTTGTTGGTAATATTAACATGGGAAACTCTATTAGTTTGTATTTTATTACCCTGTATGTGATGGCGTTAAATACTTCACATTAGGTTGCTTTTCTTGTTTTTGTGGCGGTAATTATCGTTCCCTTGTGAGTTGATTTTTTACTTCATCGCCTCTTTTACGTCTTCGTTTTTTGTGTTTAACTGGCCGCACGGTCCGTTTGGTCCATCCGTCCATTCTGCTAGTTTTCCATTACATTTACACCTTTTTCCATTCAGTCGTTACTCTGCCGCAAGTCTTTGCTGGTTTTCCTCCCTTAGTCTTGCACTTTTTTCCCAACCCGTCGGTGCTTTTTTCCTGCTTTTATTCTTCGCACTCATTTTCCTTTTTATTTCAACGCCTGGTGAGCTCACGTTTATATTTGGCACCTTTTCATTCCACTTTGACGTCCGTGGTGGTAGTGGTGTGGCCTTATTTCAACTCTCGTGATGAGTTAACACTTTTCTTCGACTTGGCGCTGCGCACCATTTCTGAAAGCATTCCGCTTGATGCGCGATGAAAGAAGGCCGCGTTGCGTTTGGCATTTTCTTTCTTCATTTCAATTTTTATATTTTCCATTCTTGGCGCTTTTTTCGTCAACGTAGGCGCAAACTCGGACGTCTGCCCGCGTCTGCCTCGGGAATTTATTTTGCACGAACGCCCAAAGCAAGCAAAACAAGCAAAACGGAGCAAAGTCGACACAAAAGAGGAAATTCGCTGCGTAAGGCCACACGATTCGAAACTAAATCATTTCACAGACGTACAAAACCCCTTTGGATTCAGCTTTTTTTTTCCTGCGTTGCGTTAATCTGATTTCGATAATCAGATTTTTTGATCAACGTAAACTAAACACAACTAGATTAAAGGTCAACATTTTACCGAATTAAGCGCTAAATGTTTAATCACACCGGCGATTAATTAATCACTAATAAATTAATCATGGGGATATCCAACTGTGCTGTCGGGCTGCCAAAGTTTGGATTAATTAAACGCCAATTATTATCGAATCGTTGAATTATTAATTTCTTTGTCGTTGTTTTACCCAGCGCGCTCCACATTCGCCCCGATTACACCAATGAATACCAATCAATCCCTCTCCTATGCACATGCCAACGATTCCACAGCTTTTGTCTTTTTGACACGCCATCAACTTACGAATTCAACGCAACAACAAATTAAAACGAGATAAATAATTATTAGGGCGGTTATGGTTTTATCAGTTGCACGATAAATAATAAATTTCCAATTTGAATTATTTGAATTAGAATTGTGCCATAACCTCAAATGTATCATGCACTTCTCTGCAGCACCAATTGAATATTGCATAATTAACGTCCAATCTTGCGCACGCAATTCGATATCTATGTTCACTTTTGTTTCCGCCCTCGTTGCGGTCATACCCAGCTCGGATCGAACATTTCCGCGTGTGCATTTCACACATTTCGAAGCGTTGTAGTTTATTCATTTGATACGTCGACGATATTTCATTCATATTTCACCACCGAGTTGATTGCCGTCGGTAATTATTTTTCTTGTCCGATGAAAATATAATGAGCAGTTGTGGGAAATGCAATCAAGGGGTTAGGGATAGTTGTTTGGTAGGGACGTCAGCACGTAAAGCAATGAGAGGGAGGAAGAAAAGAAGAAAAGACGCCTTCTTTATTAATCAACACATTGGGAGCACGATTAATTAACTCCATTGTACCCGTAGAGCTTTTTTGTGCGTTGTTGAGTTAGGTGATTAGGTTTCCTCTTTGAACCCTCGACTAATCTGTAACGAATCTCATCAGTATTTTATTTTATCCACGTGAAAATCAATATTAAACTAATTTTTGTTTTGGGACAAATTTTCATTTGTCAATTGGGTTGAATAAACGTATTGTAATATCAGCAGCGGTGTGTAACAATGCGCCTCCACCATTACCGGCGCCTCCACCATTTATAGGTAAATGGTATCAACACACACACTGCGTTGGCTTCGTGCCCTTCTTGCTAAATTCCATCTCGCGTCGAAGCAATTGGCGTCATTGATTGTAATCAGTGTAGCACATGTAACGCAATATATTCGTTCGATTATGCCCGTTTATAACCGCTCCAATTTCCATTCTCTGGGCGGCAATTTTCGGGCGCGATTTAAACCAGCGTGAAATTGCGCGCTCATACATTTATTGCTTTTCATAGATTGGGGGCTGCTGCGTTTGAATTTATTCGCGTAATGTAAAATGGCGGCGTAATATCTTGTTACCAACTGGTTTTAACATGAGCTTTGATGTATCATCATCATTTGTCATTGGGTTTTATTTTTATTTTCGTATGGCGTGAATTTGATGCATGTTAAATGTTTTATTTAGTGGAATTTTTTGTTGAGTGTGGTGTTTTTGTGTTTGCAGGTTAGCACCTTCCGGTCTACAACAAAACACACTGCCATCGTCGGCACAGCAGCGGCAGCAGGAAGCGAACCAAGCGATGGTTGCCGGCGGTACACTGCAAGGCGTTGGAGGCCATCAGCAGTCGCCGTTGGTTATGCCCGTCTTTCCATTGCGGCCCGCGGCGCAGGCGGCGCACACCCCTCATTACTCTCCGTACTCCCCGTCCAGGTTCCACATCGATAAGCGCTGCCAGCATCGCTGCACGTGGAAATGTCTCAGCATTGCTCTCATCCTGCTTGCTGTCGCCCTCACTGCCATGCTTGCGTATTTTGCAGGTAAGAATTTTTTAATCATTTTTCTAAAACGGCTGGGCATTGAATTTGCGTGCGTAATTTAAACAATATGCGCTGAAATACCAAAACAGAAAAAGTGTTTTAATGCACAAAAACGAATGAATAGCGCGCGCGCATTTGAATGGAATAATGAAGAAATGACGGGGTTGAACATAAGGAACAGGACGAATGGCCAGGACGTCCTCGACCGAAAACCCGAATACAAATGAATAGGAATAGAAATAGCTCGAATGAAAGGAAGGGAAAAAAGGAGTTTTGCATTTCGCATACAACGCGGAGGCCGAGTTATGGAAATATAAAGGTCCTTCGTCCTTCCTGCCTTGCTTTATATAAACGTGCATGCTGTCGGTATGTGAACGCAATAGAAAAGCGGAAAAGAACGGCTGCGGCGCGGATAAAGAAAGACACGCAGTGTCGCGCGGTGCAAAGTGAAAGTGTGCGAGGTTGCGGCACCCGGTAAAAAGGGTCCGAATGCACGCGGGGAAGCCCGGAAAAATCTATTTAGCATTTACGTGGCGCCCATTTGTTTGTCGCGGCGCGCGGAACGTGTGGAAGGTTGAATTGCGAAGGCTTCCATGCCATCGTTTCCTTATTTGAATAGCGCGCCGCCCTTCATAACCATACATCACGCGGCAACAACAACGTCGCTTTTTCTTTACCCCCGACGCTAAAATAATAAAAAATAAAATTGAATAGCATCAGAATAATGGACGAACTAGAAATTTCATATTAAACACATTTATTTTGATCTAATGCCTAAATTTGTATTTTTTATATTCCCGCGTCGATAAATTAGGCTGCTACAACTCGTTAAATCTGCAATCTCTACTTTCATGCACATTATTATTGATAGTGACACCCTTCGGTGGGAAAATAAATGACTCCAGCTATCGTTTCTATCTCGCTGTCATTGTGTGCGTTTTTTTTTGGGATCCGATCAGCCGATGCTGGTGTCTCTGCGTGCATTGATCCCCATAAGCGTTTTTCACGGCCCATCGTAATACTAGACCCATTTACACAATGTTAAAATATATCACATTATGACATCACCTTACCCTACCAAATACTACACTACTACCACGCTAGCATTTGCATTTTCGGCTTGTGCGTGTGTTCGTGTAACTTTCGGGATAACTTGTTTGACTTATGACTATGACGATGTGTCATGTCACACCCTATCTGGTTTATCCCTCGCAGCGGCGGTGTGCGGGTTCATGAAGAGCTCGTATTCGGGCCGTAGCCCTCGCAGGCACGTACCGCTGTCATCCTGCGCGCTGTGCACACAAACTAAGTTTCCAATTACATATTTTCCACCGATGCTAACAATATCAAATCTCGGTAATGGGACACGTCCAACCCAACCCCACTGCAAGACCCTTTGTCGTCTTTTATTTGCATTCGCTTTTGGATTTTGTTATTTGCCTCCGGGAAAATTGAATTTTCTATTAGAACAAAAACTGGTTAGGTCCCCGAAAGCACAGAAAATGAGAGAATATTTATTTGGTTGCAAAATAAGGAGATGGTTTTATTATTTTCGCGATTTTATAGCTTGTCAAAACCATTTAAAAAGCTCTCGGGCCTTTGATGTTTTCTGGTGCTGCACCTTTGTTGCAGTTTGTTGGCCCTCCACTTTATCCCTACTGGCGGCTTACTTCTTTTGTATCCGCTGCCCCTCTTTGTATTCCCCGAGATTGTTAGGGCATCGTATCATAAAGAAATAAAGACACGCGCTGCTCGTGTTCGCGAGAAATCGAGGAAATAAGGAAATCATATTTTTCTATGAAGCCTATAAAGACCTAGGCTCAAAGTGGAAATTGAAGCCAGCCATCTCGAGGGGCGAGAGCAAAATCTATTTAGATTCAAATATAAAGCGAACGCGAGGCGGAACAATCGCACGGCCAATTCGTATTCCGAATGTATACTACTTCATAGCGGGTACACACACACACGAGGGGTGACATTCGGCAATCGCTCCAACAACGGGGCGCAGAATTCGCCAGTTTCCTTATTAAGGAGCCATTCTTTTTCGGGCGTGTGCCGCCGTTTTCCGGCTTCCAAGCTAACTAGGTAGGCGCTTTTGGGATTCACTTTACGCTTGATGTCACCAAAAAATGACAAACCCTCCTTCTTTACTTTTGCATTTTGAATCGGCTTTTGTTTCGTTTTTTTTTCTTCCACCTAAGACTTCCGGTTCTTTTCATTTTATCCCAAGCGATGATGTAAGCCACGTGTCGCCTGCTCTTCAAATTTTAATTTCGATTTTTCAATTTTATCCGCCCTGTGACACAATCATTAGTTGCGCCTGGTTGATGATAATGTTCACTGCTAGGGGCGTTAGCTTGCCACTAATTGACTCGCAAATTCAATGCCTACCCGCAACGCACACGGAAAATGCACTTTCCGAAATGCCAGAAGCGCGTTCACATTGCATATTCGCTCGGCGCTATCATGATGAAACGATGCGACTAATTCACGACATGCAAATTCCATATTTGCAGCTGTCAGTTCGATGAAACCGAATATGGATTCCACGAACTGCATCCTCGTGCAGGACGTCAAGGATGTGACGCAGGACCAAATGACGCAAGGCTCCGTTTCGACACAATTACCCACCGAAGGTACGTATCACCATCACCACTACCGCCACCTAGCAACCAGCGAGGAGCTATTGTTTTATCATTAATGTTCTTCCTCGCTTCGTCATTGCGTTATTTCGTTTCTCGTTTTCCGTTTTCCGACTGCCGCGCACTGTTATCGTACGCTGGTGCAGCCGGAATGGCGGCGAGCTGCGAGTTTATCTCTGTTTGCATCCTTTCCGACGGAGCGAGCTTCCTACAATTATCTACTTTATGGTTTTCTGCTTCCACGATTACGGATGTGAACTTTACGTTAACAACTTATACAGAATGTTTTCCTACTAAATCAAAACTTTGCAACCGGCAAGCAATTCAAAAACAAGATGAGCATCTCATTGTGGACCATTTTATGCTTATCTAAGGAAAACATTCTATTGCACCTTTTGGTGCAGTTTATAAGAGATGTTTATATTTTCACAGAATCATTACCGACGAGTACAGCGGAGCATTCCAGCGTGACAACGCATGGTTCATTGCAACAGCCGCAACAACAGAGTCAGTCCCAACCACAATGGCCGCCGTTGTTGGAGGTGCGCGAATTGAACACCCTGCATGCTGCAACCATACCACCCTATCAGTTCTGGAACTCTGAGTTCCGCAACAAGCAGCCGGCGTTCATCCGCTTCAATTTCACGCTGCCGTGGGGCGCCAACTTTGCCGTCTATGGTCGACGCAATGTGGCGCCCAGCGTCACGCAGTACGATTTCGTCGAGTTCGTGAAGGGCGGACGCGTCGATCATCGTTTGCGAAAGCGCTCGGCCGTCAACGACGACACCTCAGACCCTGACGACGATGACGACGACGACAGTCTCACTCTGACCTCCTCTGCGTTACGCCATAAGCAAATACGATTTCCCTACAACAACAAAAATCTCCATCGATCCGATGTGCTTGAAAGCATTTCAAGTAACTATGAAGGTACCAAGAAGATTCTGGCTGATTCAGATGGACCTCGTGGGCCATTTTTCTCGCACGTGAATATTGACTTCTCCATGTTGGGATTGGGTCAGGGGGAGGTTGGTGATGGGACGGATATGCCTCATCCCACAGTGGATTTGGGTGTCGAACTGGATGCGCATGTTATTTCGAAGAGGGACGCCGAGTTGGAAACTATGTTGGTCAACGTCAGCCTGCTGCAGTATTTGGACACGGGTCGCTGGTTCCTGTCGGTGTACAACGACGAGCTGCAACCGCATGCGGTCGCGTTGGTCATCTCGGAGGCGGAGGGCGTCAGTACGACTTGTCCGAATGACTGCTCTGGGAGGGGTTCCTGCTACCTGGGCAAATGCGATTGCATCGATGGCTTTCAAGGCATTGACTGCTCCAAAAGTAAGTGCAACGTACAATGGTCCCAAAGTTCAATAAAACCTTTTGGGTAGAGAGGGGATTAGACCTTTTTTCGTTTTGACTGGCGGGTCATTACTTCTGGTTATTCGACAGTTTGTAGTACAGGAGAAGCGTTTTAGTGGGTAAATCTATCATGTAAAGGTCAAAGTGGGATTAAGGGTCACCTTATTAAGTGTCTTTCTTGGGAGTTCATTAGTTACCATGTGGGGGTGATTTTAATAGGGCTACTCAAAGTGTCATGTAGGTCATGCAATGTCTCAGATGTTTTCTTGATTGAGATCCTTCCGCACAGCGTGGGGGTCGTAGGTGTGATTTATGTGTGACACATGGGTTCACGTTCGCAGGTATCTGTCCAGTGCTATGCTCGGGTCACGGTCAATACGGCGGCGGGCTGTGCCACTGCGAGGAAGGCTGGAAAGGCCCCGAGTGCGATGTGCCCGAGAGCGAGTGCCGCGTGGCGGACTGCGGCGGTCGGGGGCAGTGCGTGCGCGGCTCCTGCCGTTGCAAACCCGGCTGGAAGGGCGACGCGTGCGAGGAGCGCGACTGCGAGGACCCGACGTGCTCCGACCGCGGTGCGTGCGTGCAGGGCCAGTGCTACTGCAAGGCCGGCTGGCAGGGCGATCGATGTCATCTCATCGACGAGCAGGTGCACAAGTGCCTGCCGAGCTGCGCCAACCACGGCGAGTACGATCTCGAGGCAGGCAAGTGCGTTTGCCATCGTCACTGGACCGGCGCGGATTGCTCACAACGTACGTAGATTGTAAACTTTTACCATCAAAAACTATCGTCCTTTGATGTTTGGTCGAGCAAACACATGAACGAGCACGTATGCCGCATACTGCAGATGTCTGGCGGATGCAGAATGTTAAATCTTTAGTTTTGAACGTTTAGCTAAACGACACAAAGTTTTATTAGCAACCCTCCTCCGCCAAAACTCTTGCGGCTTGCAAACTTGGTTTGTTTAGCGTCTGTATTTCTGCGTTCTGCAATTTGCGCATACTTTCGCGTAATGTCGAGACTTGCCGCCGCAGTTTCGCATTGCGTTACGGCTTAATTTTGTTTGTTCGCAGCTTTGTGCAACTTGGATTGCGGTCCACATGGCAGATGCGATTCGGGGAAGTGTCGCTGTGATCCTGGCTGGACTGGTCCACGATGCGAGCAATTACCATGCGATGCGCGATGTCAAGAACACGGACAATGCAGAAATGGCACCTGTGTTTGCTCACAGGGCTGGAATGGACGACATTGTACTCTACGTAAGTCATTTGTTTTTAAATTTAATTTGGTTACGTTTTTGGGGAACACTTTGTATATTGCATATACTGTAGCATGAAACTGCAGATATATTGAGAGTCGAGTTGAGTGGCGCGCACCGAGTGAAACTTTAACAACTTCCATTTGGACCTTTTCCTCCTTCCACCACTCGTCCACCCGCTGGAGTGCCTTTCGTGTGTGTGTGTGCGCGCGCGCGCAAGGATGCGAAGGACGTGCGTGAATGTAGTTTCGCGACTCTGTGCGAAACTTCTCTAATTTCACACCGAAACTCACGTTCGTCTTGCACGACGACGAATGTGCCCGCTGCGCGCGCCCGGAAAAGTTTGCGACGCCGGGAAATATGTGCGTCGCGCCTGGTGCCTTTTTCCCTCACTTATCGGAACAAATATATTACTTAACAAAACCCAATTCTCGGCGAACTTGCCGCCGTCTTTCCCCCTTATTCTCTGCGCGCGTTCCAAACCGAAAAATACGCCGTGCCAAGATTCGACCGAAAATGTAAACAATAAAAAGGAACCGAAAATAAATTAAGAAAAACGACACACTGTGAAAGCAATTTGGTTCGCGCCTACGGAAAAACCAAACATCAAGTCCGGGAAGATAGATAGTAATGCGAACACGTTGAGCACTCGTGGGGCAAACTGGATTTTAAATTTTCATTATTACTCGTTACGTTTCTGATTAGGTCCTCGCCGACTTTGTGCGCTCGAGCTCGCCGCCGGCACTAAACGAAATGGACTGGTGGGGCCGCGCTGACATTTGGGATTTTCCTTCAGTTTGCTTTCCACCGTCGCCGCACACCTTGTTATTGTGAGCGCGCAAGAAAAACACGCGCAAAAGGAATTAAAAAGCGAAACGCGCCGGCAAAAGAAAAACAGTTAATTAGGACGACTCGCTGCTTTTTAGATATTTATTTCGACGGGGATTTGGGGACGGCGGCGCAGAGTGGGCAAAAGCGCCGTTTGTGGTTTTCCATTTATTTTTAGATTTGTTCTTTTACATTCGCATCAAGGACAATGAGGATTTTAAGCTTTATTCGTACATTTTTCAAAGTTTTATTTTCTGCTTGTCCCGGCGAATTACACTCAGATTTGTGATTATTTTGTTTTCTTTTTCCACAGCCGGATGCGAGAATGGTTGCTCTGGTCATGGACAGTGTACCACCGAGGATGGCTCTTACCTCTGCGTCTGTATTCTGGGCTGGGCAGGTTCAGATTGCAGTATACCTTTGGAACAAAGTTGTAATGATGATATTGATAATGATCACGGTTAGTAAGAAAACATTTTTTGTTTTAAAAAATTTATTTTTGCGAATATTGGCATAAATTATTATATTTTGTGTATAGATGGTATGACAGATTGTTCAGATAGCGAGTGTTGCTCCCATGCGAGCTGCGCCGATCACATAATGTGTTTGGCAAGCAATGATCCCGTGGAAGTTTTGCTGCGTAAACAACCTCCGTCGGTGACGGCGTCGTTTTATCAGCGCGTCAAGTTCCTCATCGAAGAAAATTCGGTGCAGTCGTACGCACACATGGACGAGTACACCGAGAGGTAAGTACCACCGCTCCGCTCTTATTGATTCGATAATTATGCCGAATGATGAATTATTTATCACATTATTACTTAATCAAGATTAAGTGTAGAGCTTCTCAATGAATAAAAAATGTACTTTCTTAAAAAAAATCCAAAAATATTTAGTGATATGATGTGATTGATAAAATAATTATTATTAATTGAGGATATTTTTCAGATGGTACATTTTTCACGCAAGATTTTAATTTTAATATTGCCAACAAAAAAAATAAATTGGACGAGTACCATACGAAACTCGTCGATTTGCGACCGACTAAAATATTTATCTCTTAGAGCGTCGATTAGAGACGAAAATATACTAAGTAAAAATTATAGTTTAAAATATTTAAATGAAGAGCGGAGGCTCGACCTGGCCGCTTTGCTCGGGCACCGCACACTCCCTTGTATTACTTTTTATTTTCGTATCTCACTGAGCATATCTTCGCGATGTTTTGCCTCAAAAAAAAAAAGAAATATGCTATGAATGAAGATATCGATTTTTGCGGATGTCCATAATTGTCCAAGTTTATAACCACCAAAAAATCAACACCATATTTAATGTTTACGTCCTCCCCCCGTTACGCTCCAAGCAATTTATGATTACGACGAAGCGAAGATTTCGCGCACGCGACTCGGGAGACGCGCGAGAAATAAATAAAGCGCGCCGAACGCCGATCGAAATCCTCGCTTCGTGGACGTGCGGGATTGTCATTTTGTGTCTTTGTCTGATTACAACCTCTGTGTGCGTCTACCCGTCTCCAAAGCCCGAGTCGAAACAAACATTCGTTAAGATAATTAAAAACGAGAGAAAACCGAGAAAAAGGACGAACAAGATCCCAGAACAGAAAGCAAAAATAAAAAAGAAGTAGATTAATTTTTGTTTACGTTCAGTTTGAGTTTGTTCTTTCGTTTTAAATTTCGAACAATCGAAATCAAATGTGATCGTCTTTTATTAACATAGTTTTTAATTAATTAACTAATTAACAATTTAGGTACGTATTGCTTTGATAGACACAAGAAAAAATGCAAAATTTTATTTGATTCTTTGCTTTCGAAGCTTTTTTCTAAATTGGTATCAAAACTATTCAAACCTTGTGTCTGTCATTGTGTCTTTTTTGTAGCTAAGAGTACCGAAAACAATGTCTGTGTCTTATTAATTGATTGTGTGTGTCTCGTCAAATTGTGTATTGTCAATAACATTATGATTTGAAGTGTTTTACTCGCCGCCGTTGAAAATCTCACCAAATTTCCAACAGCGACGAGTAAAAGTGTGCGTAAGTGAAGTGTGATTGTCTAATGTATTTGTTTATTTCTGTTGCAAATTTTTCTCATTTGATTTTCACAATACACATGCTTCTTATCAGCAAAAACCGTGCAACAAGAACCGAAAGAAAAATTTGCAACATCAATTGCTTATGTAGTACCATGCGTTTCGAGCATTTTCACGCAATTCTAAAATTTTGAATAAGAAAAAATATTCGTGAATACGCTCGGAAAACGCAAAGTATTGCGTGTGATTAGTAATTGTCCTGTCTTCTGTGTCCCCTATGTCGCTGCTGCAACCTTCACTTGTAGCGAGTTCTGGAATTCCTTTACACCGCGGTAAGTGGCAGCATTCTCCCCACAAAAACAAAAAAAATGAGTCAAAATACAAGCCAGAATCTAACTCTGAAAAAAACAAGTCTACAAAAAAAAAATAATCAAAAAATATGTTTCTGTCTGTCTGTCTGTTTGTCTGTTTCGTCTGTCCGTGTGCTGCCTGTTATTAGCCTGCTGCCCGCCATATATATATTTACAACCCCCTTGCCCACCCCCTACTATTTGTTTGAACGTGCATCGCCGCCGCCGCCTGCAAACGGCCGGCGTTTCTAGAATCAAACGAAAAACATCTCTTACATTATCCTTGTTGCGAAACGAAACGAGATCTATGTGCGATTTGTATACGATCCTATTGTCCTTTGTTGGTACATGTTTGTTAGTCTTTGCTTATTTGTACAACTTATGATTTTCACGTTTTCTACATGTTTACATGTTTTGTGTAATTCTGTGAATTTCCATTCGACCAAATGCAACCGAGCGAAAAATATTCATTCCATTTGTTAATTAGTGAACATCCGTGTTGCATTTGTTGTTGAATCAACGTTACATTTGATTTGCTGCGAATGTATTTTGTTTTCTTTTACAAATTTACAAATTACTGAAGTATTAACCCGCTGATAATAACGTACTCTTTCGCTTTAATTAATTATATTAATCAATTTAAACTTACACATACAAAATGAGTCGCAGATTACGAATAGTGCGATGAGTAACGAGGTAAAAACAAATATTTATACGTAGGATAAACAATGAACACGAATTTTTTTAGTTTTTATTCACATATTTACAACTTTTACTCACAAATTCACACATAATAAACATTTTCATGGAACACATGCGTTTTGAGTTGACTTAAGCTGAAAATACGATGATTAATTTAAGAATTGAAAGAGTTCTGGGAATTATACTAATGAAATAATGAATTTGAAATTCCAGCGGCGATTTAATAAATTTGGCAAGTTTTTATCCGTGCAAATCGTTGGAAATTTCAGTGCGAGTCGACTCAGAATCCGTTTGGCGTGTGTTTAGGTTAACGAAGATAATTAAGGCTTTTCCAAAATTTATACATAACACAATTATATATACACATCTATATGTATGTATAATTTCGCATTCAGTTGAGAGGAGGCGAGGATTTATGCTAAAATAATACGACTTTAATTCGCCCAGCGGCGAATGCGGACCAGACGGAATACGGAATTAGAGAAACGAGAGAGAAACGGCTCGGCCGAAGTTCCTTCCTTTGTCTACGTGTCATTTGTGAGCACAAAAGCCCCGCGACCTTTGTTGCAACCCGCATCCCGTCCTTCCCATAAACACGAAAACAATCGACCAAAACATTTCAGAAATTAAAACTATCAACCAACAAACAAAGAAAAACTAGAGAAAAAAACGATCGAAATTTTTTCAAATTTAATAACACACTTTAACGAGCAATCTTCAATTGTTACTCTTTTATTAAACATAAATTGAGATTATAAAGCGGTTGCCTTGCTTTTGATTTTATCGACTTGATGTTTCGATATTTGTCACCGTTTTTTGCTTTGGTTTCGTGCTGCATCGTGCTTCTTATAAACATAAGCAGTGAAAATGCAACATGCCACGAAAATACTCACACAAAATATCTTCATCTTTCACCCACTTCAATTGAAGTCGAGTACAAAATTTGATCGTTAACACTTTTACAAAAATCTATCAAAAATATATACAACCGAACAAAAATAATTAATCTAAATGGACATGAACTTAAATTTTAAATTTTAATCGATGTTTTATTATTATGATTGAGTTTGAATTGAGATATATATATATTCGATTATTTAATTATTCGTAATTCGTAGTGGTGGTATTCAATTGAAAGTGCCTGCACACATATTACATATTATATTTAATGGGTCACCAAAACATTCCGTTTCTAATCATGATTTCTTTCAGATTTAAAAAATTTAAAATTTTTGCAAATTGAAAAATAAGTATTTTTGAGTTTTTGGTTATGTGAAATGAATCATTATTAGAAAAGGAAGCAAGCATTTTATTTCTCCATGCAGTGCAAACGAATCGAGCTTCTTTTATTGAGACTTGAAACACTTTCGTTTGATACTTTTTGATACTCTTTTTACAACGCTTATATATTCAGCAACCTCTTGAAATATTTGCTAAAAGTTGCATGCACGATATTTTCAGTATGATTTTGTTTTAGATTTCAAAGAATATTCGAAATTAAATTCAAAGCATAAAATTCTGCATAAATTTTAAAAGCGAATTATTTCCATTTCCAATATTCTGTGAAATTTAATCAGTTTCTATTTCATGATGATGCTTCTTTCTGTATACGGCTTCAATTTAATATTTACAATGTTAGCAACGTGTAACATTTATTCACTAAACTCCAAAAATATATTTAAGTGTAATTATCAAGTGTTTAAAAATATTTTTGGGGGTTATTTGAAGAAATGTTGCACTTTGTTCGATGGTCTTTGGTGTTGTGAACCGTCTCTTCGTTGACGGAAACCGGAGGACGCGTAGCTAACTTGAGTCTGTTGACAGCCGAGTTGCCGTTATGCGAGGACAGGTGGTGACGCCGCAAGGATTAGGCATCGTTGGTATCCGCGTCTCTGTTGATCGAGAATCACGTTTTGGATTCACATTGACTCGCCATGGAGGATGGTAAGTAATTTTTTATTTTTGTTTGTTTTGTTGATTTTTTTACTTAGAAAACAAAACGAGTTGAAAATACGCCCGACAATAAATTTTCCCAAGACAACAAAGAAACAATTAACAAAATAATTAGACATTTTATATTGTTGAACGCATAATGAGCGCATGGAAAATTAAGGTTTAAAGAGCAAATTAAGCGCGCGCACCGAGCGATTCGGCAATGCGAAACGAGGTCACGGCAATTAATAATCCAAAAAGCCAATTACTCGCATTACTTTTATTACTCTCACTTAGTTTTCTCTCGGGTGCTTCTTCCGCGGGTTGTTCACTCTTCGTTCATTTGTCGCCGCGTTGCTGCCTACCCGAAAACTTCGAACAATCGACCAGAGCAAAGAAAAAAACGCAGTGGCGACGCTGTGCAAAGCAAACTTAAATTTATTCCGGCACTTTTTCATTTTCCTCTTTTCTTCATTTTCTTCCATACTTTTGAAGCGCACGCCGTGGTATTTACCATTCGGAAGCAGGGCACAAGACACAGCCCACCCATTTATTCACTTTGCCCAAAAGTTAAACTGTGCACCCGCACCGCACAAAGAGATAAGAAAAAAGCGCCGACTGTGAAGTGCGGATGCGAGGGAGAGCACAGAAAAAAAACAACAACTGGCTGGGCAATCAGGAACGTCGGCGCTAATTATGCGGCTGTTTATCTCGCGACGACAAAGTCGGCGCCGCCACCGACACGAGGAGCTCTTAGCGTTATTAGAGACAACGGACGAGAGGGTATTGTGCGTCTGCGCTGATGGAAAACATAAGAAAATTATTCACTTAATAGACGCTTGATCATTGGGACGTGGATAAATTCGTGCCAAAGCAAGAAATGCCCGCCCGTATTTCGGCGGAGGCAGGCTTTCTTCTCGCGCGTTCACGCTCGCCCTCTTAAATCATCGCCCGCGTGCGCGCCGAAACTTTCCAGCCAGGCAGGCAGCAGCCGAGCGCGTGGCATCGGGTTTGATGATTAATTAATGTTGTACACAAAGTGGAATTTTGATTAGAGCGATGTCTCTACAAGCGGGCAGATGTGTAAGCGAGGGTCCGATTCACGCCGAATTTTCCGAGGCGCATTAGAGAAAGTAAAAGCAAAGGAAGCCTGGAAGATGTCGACGAGTCTTCAGAGCCTGTCGAAATTATTTATTTAGAGCGCACAATAAAGCAGCATCCGCTTAAAAGTACTCACCCTTTCCTCTGCTTTGACTACATTTCAACCTACAAAGAAAATATAGGTTTATTTATACCCATTTACCTAGTTTACGGAAATTCAACACAAAAATGAAAACAAAAAAGTTTACATCTCTTGTAATCGCGCGTTGTAAACTCCGTGGGTGTTATAACACGCAGGGGTTTTAGTTGCGCATTTTCCAAAGCCCGTTTTGCAGAAACGTACGAAACGTAACGAGATAATTACTACTTTGTTAATTAAGTTTGTAAAAGCGAAGGCGTCGTCGTTTCGTTGGCGCGTTAGCGCAAAGCAAACGCATGCATGCATCAGCCGAGGACGGAAGGAAAGACGACACTGAGGCGCGAGCGCACATAGGTGTCGTAATTACTCGTTTGCGCACAGCAATGAGAATGTGTAACTACCGGCAGCGCGCCGTTAGCCCGGAAGTAGGGGGAAGAGTCAGAAATTTAAAGTTTCAACTCGGATTTAAAGATTTAGCAACCTTCGGCACGCACGCGACGCCAAACAAACGCGAAATGAAAATGTTTCCCGACCCCTTCATGTAAGTACCATTAGCCCGATGGCACAGAGTAATTGATGGATCTCTTAATTATGGAGCAGTGTTTGCGTTTCGCAACCCGCGCGGAAGAAAATTAAAAGGTAAAGCCCACTTCCGGCGAATCGCATCAAGGGGATGCGCGGCCATTAAAAACTTGGCGTGTTTTCAACTTGTTTTTGGTGTTTTTCTTAATTTTTTCGCTACGTAATTATTGATTGATTACGTTTGGATGGAAATAAATAAAGCTGGGATTAATTGGAAAATATTAATCGCTCAGGTTCGATGTGCTGGTGAATGGTGGAGGCGCCGTGACCCTACAGTTTCAACGCTCCCCTTCAAGCCACTCACCCGCACCGTGTTCGTGCCGTGGAATCAAATCGTCGTCTTGCCACCCGTGCACATGCAGCTCAGCGACGATAGCGACTCTTCTAGCCATCATCCGAGGTAATGCCCGCCTGAAATCGAATCATAATAATTTTTCTTCTCTCGCGCCGCTAAACGTCTTAATCTCATACGAAAGATGGGAAACTCAAATCGACGCTTCTATTTTTTTTGTACGCCCGCAGTTTCCTCAGCCGTAATCCGGCAATCAACTTTCCGGGCGTGTCGCGTTCTCTCTTCGGCTCCAACAGCGTACTTCCTGCTAGCTGTGATGATCACGATCCAGAGGAGCTCAAGCCGGTGATCACCGGCACGTGGATGCCCGAAGCTGTTGGCGGCATGGCCGGCCAGAGTCTCATCTTTGCCGAAACGCAAATTGTGCAGGAATCGATACCCATCCCCGGCTCGGATTTGCATCTCATGTATCAGAGCTCGCAGGCCATCGGCTATCTTAGCACCATTCACATGCGACTCACTGGTTCCACCATCCCCAAGACCCTCACACATGTGCACGTGCGCGTCGAAGTGGAGGGCTCGCTACACGTCAAGACCTACGAGGCTGACCCCGAGCTGAAGCACACGTTCGCGTGGAACAAGCGCAATGTGTACAAGCAGAAGGTGTATGGTGTAGCGCAGGCCAAGGTCTCGGTCGGCTATCAGCATTCTTCGTGCGAGGAGCCGGTGTGGGAGACGCAGACAGCGGATTTGAAGGGCTTCGATGTGGATATCAGCGACATTGGCGGCTGGGGCCTGGACATTCACCATCACTACAATTTCCATGAGGGCATTCTGCAGAAGGGCGACGGCTCGACCCTTCACCTCAAACAATACCCGCGCACCGTCAACGTCGTCATGGGAACCGGGCTGCAGCGCACGCTGGATTGTCCCGGACAGTGCGGCGGGCCCGCGAAGGACGCCAAGCTGCTGACGCCTGGATCACTAGCAAGCGGCCCGGATGGCAGCATTTACGTAGGGGATTTCAATTTGGTGCGGCGTATTACGCCCGAAGGGCATGTTTACACCGTACTGCAATTAAGGTACGTTTTGTTGTTCTTATCTACCCTTCCAACCCCAGGTCTGCGGGAAAAAAAACCTCGGACTCTGTATTTCTATCATCAAATATCCCATTTATGATGCTGGAGTTCATTTTGTACTTGGTGTTATCCTCTGGTTGAACTCGTGTGTTGAAATCCAATGCTCATGCGGTATTGTGTGGAATTGCAGGGCGACTCAAGTGGCTTATCAGTATTACCTATCGGTCTCTCCCGCCGATGGCCACCTATACGTGTCGGATCCCGAGAAGCATCAAATCCTCAAAGTGATATCATTAGAGCCCGTGACTGATCCGAGCATCAATAGCGAGCCGGTAAGTTTAACGCTTATGTATTCTTATTCCAGATCACTTGTCTCGCAATTCTTGCCACTTGCAACCCCCATGCTAGCGGCGCCTTATAATAATGAATCGATAAACGATAAAACTGAAAACGCTTGCTCTAGGTGGTCGGAAATGGGGAGCGCTGCATACCAGGGGACGATAGTAATTGCGGCGATGATGGCCCCGCCAAGCACGCTCGATTAGCGCACCCCAAGGGCATCGCGATCGCGGCAGATAAAACGATGTATATCGCCGACGGCACCAATATACGCGCCGTAGATCCACGCGGAATTATCCACACTTTGGTTGGCAGTCATGGCCACCACAATCATTGGTCACCCATTCCGTGTCATGGCGCGCTGAGCGCTTCCCAGGCCCAGCTGCAATGGCCCACCGGATTGTCTCTCAGTCCGTTGGACGGTTCACTGCATTTCATTGACGATCGTCTTGTTCTGAAACTTACGGCTGACATGAAGATCAAAGTCGTCGCCGGCACTCCGCTTCATTGCCATGCAAGGGAGGATAATAATGTCACCTCTTCGAAGACACAAAGCGACGACGTGCTGGGCACCGTATTGGCGTTGGCCTTTGCTCCCAATGGAGACCTGTACGTGGCGGAAACGGACACGCGCCGAGTTAACTTCATCCGCATGGTTGATTCGTCCGGCAAGATAACGCATTTTGCCGGCCGCACACAAGAAAAGTTCAAAAATAATTGCGACTGCAATACGAGCATCACCACCGCAAATCCTCGCAATACTCCGAGTCAGGAACTTCCCACAGCTTGCATCTGCGGTGCTACTGATGTGACGACGAGTAATGCTGAAACACTTCTGTCCTCGAACGCTCGGTTCCAGGCGATTTCCGCACTTACGGTCTCGCCAGGCGGTGTACTTCATGTAGCAGATCAAGGGTCACTTCACATCCTTGCATTGGAACACTATCTTCCTGCTCATGATGAAAACGGAGAATTCCACATACCGTACCCGGCAGCTGGGGAGATCTATGTGTTTAATCGGTACGGGCAACATGTTGCGACCAAAGATCTCACCTCGGCCAAAACACGCTACTTCTTCCTGTACTCGAAGAACACCAGTTTTGGAAAGCTCTCCACCGTCACCGACAGCTCTGGAAACAAGATTCAGTTCCTGCGCGACTACAGTAATGTGGTTAGTTCGATCGAAAACACGCAGGACCACAAATCAGAGCTGAAGATTTCGGGAGTCGGGTACTTGGTCAAATTGTCAGAGAAGGGACGCAGCGAAATCGAACTTGACTACGACATGAACACAGGCCTACTCACGAGCCGTTCAGGGGTGAGTCACTAAATTAACTTGTTTACGCTGAGCACATTAATTACACGCTTTTCTCTCGGATTCCTCGTTTAGGGAGGCGAAACGTTCATATATCAATATGATTGGTTGGGCCGTGCGACCGGCGTGACGCTGCCGAGCGGCGAAACTTTGAGGCTGAATTCGGAACTTTCGCCGACGCAAGGATTGGTAGTTTCAGCCAGTTCTCCGCCAACAAACTTGAAGATCACTGGCAAATCCAACAAGAACGCCATCATTGAAGACGGTATGTCCTACGATCATTTTTTATTTATTTCTAGTCTGTAAAATGCATGATGTTCTGGGTTTAGGATTGGAAATTGCCGAAGTGAAAACATTAAAGAACTCCACTGTCGGCGTAAATGCTGCGTGCGGCGCCAGCATGTTGGTCGCCGCCGTCGAGCGCCATCCGCTTTTGGAGGCTGCGCTGCCCGTCGAGGCCGAAATGCTTCCGGTTTGGTCGGAGCAAGTGTCCACGTTCGGGGACGGGCTAGAAAATTACATGTCCACAAAATTCAGCCTCGTCGGCGACGTGCGCAACCCGCAGCAGACTTTGAATCGCGAGCTATTCGTGAACAACTCGAAAGTGCTGGCTATCGAGTTTGATCAGTTCACGAGCCGCGAGACGTTTTACGACCGCGACCGTCAGCAGTTGTTATCGATCACGTACGACGCAGCCGGACTGCCGCTCAGTTATGTACCAAATGGCTCCGTACCACTGAACATTTCGTACGATGGATTCAATCGTATTGAGGGTTGGAAGTGGGGCGCTTCTGAGTTGAAATACAGTTACGACAGACATGGCCTTCTTTCTGAGATTACCAGTTCGTTAGATGGAACAAAAATATTTACATATAATGAACTCAATATGATTACCAAGATTACTCTGGCTAGTCAGAAGAGCTTTGCGTTGTCCTATGATGATGCAGGTGGACTGCGACATGTAACGTTGCCGAGTGGAACAAAGCATTCGTTCAGCCTGCAACCATCGCTGGGTTTTGTGCGGGTAACGTACACTGCGCCGGGAAGCACCCGGGCGTACTTGCAACATTACTCGCATTCAGGATTGTTGCTGCAGACAGTGTTTCCGGGCGAAGGAGCGCGCGTTGTTTACAGATATACGGCCAACAATCGGGTACAGGAAGTAGTGCACGGCGATGGGAAATCATTGTATCATTACTCGCCGACGACCGGGTTGCCGTCGCAAGTGCTGCACACTGAGCCGGACCTGGAATACCGTTGGGATTATCAGTACACCGGCGGGCTGCTGATGGAGGAACGAGTCGATTACGGTGCCAAGACAGGATTGAGTAACGCCAAATTCACTTACGACTACGACAGCAACTACCGTTTGGCGGTGGTTCAGGGACGCATTGGCGGGCAAAACCTGCCACCGTACAATCTCGCCTACAGCGCTAAAACCGGCGCTCTGGAGACGATCGGGCCGTTTAAAATTAATAAACCTAAGTGGAACGACACCCAAGTTTACGATGGCACTGCGCTTTTTTCGAGAAACGTCGATGGGCAATTTTTGGAAACACAGGTTGCTCTCACAATTCACGGTATGGAGGTTTTCCGAATGGAGTTTAGTCATGACATGCATGGGCGGATCTCACAGACACGGACGTACACTCGTAATGTGGGCGTTAATCCTTACACGAATGTGAAGAATTATACGTGGGATTGCGACGGGCAATTGCTGGGCGTCGAAGCGCAGGAACCATGGGGCTTCCGGTACGATGATAATGGCAACATGCTGTCGCTGACGTATCGGGGCAACACGATTCCGATGGAGTACAACGCGATGGACCGTATAATCAAATTCGGCGAGGGGCAATACAAATACGATACTCGTGGGCTTGTAGTTCAAAACGCCCGCGAGGAGAAATTCCACTACAACGCCAAGGGTCTATTGGTGCGCGCGACTAAGCGGGGACGATTTGATGTCAAATATTTCTACGATCACGCTGATCGACTCTCCACCCGCAAGGATAACTTTGGCAACGTGACGCAGTTCTTCTATAACAATCAGCAACGACCGAGGGAAGTCAGCCAGATCTATTCACCCCGCGACGGCAAATTAATGTCGCTCGTGTACGACGACCGGGGGCATCTGGTTTACGCGCAAGTAATTAGTTTATAATTTGATTTGCCTGAGCAATCTCATTAAATAAATGTTTTTTTGTCCCCACGCGCGTTTTACGCCTGCGCAGGTTTACAGGCACAAATATTATGTGGCAACGGATCAGTGCGGCACTCCGATCATGATCTTCAATCAATATGGTGAAGGCATCAGGGAGATTATGAGATCACCATACGGTCACATCGTGTACGACTCCAATCCGTATCTCTATTTGCCGGTGGACTTTTGCGGCGGTTTGCTGGACCAGGTAATGAATGCTTTCAGCAAATTTGTCTTGTCGACTTTTTTTTATTTCTTGTGTGGACAAGTCTGTTCGGATGTAGTCCTTTACGGGAAGGAAAATCCCCGTCTTGCAATCGGCGGTATTGAAAACGAAATAGCCCGCAATCAATCCAAATCGCAGCTATCCATTTCAATGTGTTTTCTCTGTTTGTCTCTGAATCTAGGTCACCTCCTTGGTGCACATGCCGAACGGAAAAGTATACGATCCATTAATCGGTCAATGGATGTCGCCTCTTTGGGAAAGCGTCCTCGAGAGAGTGGCCACGCCGACGCATCTACATTTATACCGATTCAACGGTAATGATCCGATAAATGTCGGCCTCGACAATTCGCGACCAAAAGGTATTGTCATTATTGTCAGCGGTAAATTGCGGGAGCAGAAAGTTATTTGTAATCGTTTCTTTTTTAGACTATCTGGATTGGTTGAGCAAGATGGGCTACGATTTAAAGAGTCTTTCACCGCAACTTTACCCAGATGAGTTGCCAGGTGGACCAATGCCTCCACAACTCAGCAGGCCCCATTCCACCTTCTGGGATCCAATTGATGACAAACTCAGTAGTCAGTTGACGTTGCAAGCTACATCGACGGGTATTCAGTCAGGTTTCTTCGCTCATATTCACTCTAGAAGAATGACGGAAGCCGGAAGTCTTTCAACGCCAAGCAAATCCGCGCTCAAGACGGACGTGATGGATTTGGTACCTAAGAAGATCGGCTCTGCTTCAGATCCACCTTTCGGAAAAGGTATTTTGGTCTCCCGGAATGTTCAAGGACGAGCTGTTGTGTCCAGTGTACCAGCCGCAAATGCTATCTATCGCGATGTATATACTTCGGTCTTCAATCGCTCATATCTTCTACCGTTCACGTTTGTTGTCCACAACGCCCAACAAGATGCCTTCCACTTTGTGAAAGAAGAAACATGGAAAGCTAACGACGACAAAGGTCAACTTAAGAGATTGCAGGGACAGGTCAACACCACGTTCCATGAGATTGCCAGAGAGAATGGCAGCGGCAACAATTACTTTGACGTTAAGATTCACGGTCTCAACGCGGTAATCAACTTACGGTATGGCACAACTCTGGAGAAGGAGAAGCAACGATTGTTGCATCATGCCAAACTATCCGCCATCCGCAAATCATGGCACAAGGAAAAAGAAGCACTGAAGAACGGCTTTTTAGGCACCGTCGAATGGAGCACTTCCGAGGTGGACGAGATCATGAAACTGGGCTATGCTTCTGCGTATGAAGGTGAGTACATCCACGATGTGCAACTGTATCCAGAATTAGCAGAAGATCCATACAACGTGCGCTTCCGAAAGAAGCAGAACGATTCGTCCAAGAAGAAACGAAAGAAACGCGATTCCAGCACCTCCAAATGTTTGGACATCGATTGGTGGTGGCTAACGTGGAACTTTGATTCCTGCTAGTGATCACAGCCTCCGAGTCAAGCAACCATCGTGATGAAACACTAATTAAATAAGTACCAAACAAAACAACTAGTTCTAAGTACTTTCAAAAAAGGATTACTACTGATAGAGTACGTCTAATGTCAAAAAAATGCAGATAAAGATAACATTTTATACCGCTATTGATAAGAAATAAGTTACACTGATAAAAAAAAAGCTACTAATCTTAAGGGAGATAACTTTAACGCAAAATGAAAGAAACTATGACATAATGATACCAATACCAAAGTCTATTTGTGTAATGTATTTCAAAGATGCCAAAAATATTATTTATTTACAATGTGTTACCTATATGTATGTGATTAGCATTGGAGGTATAATCAAATCGGGTCAACCAATATTATATGTTGAAACAATGAGCACATTACAATTACCAAAATGGAGAAAATTAAGAGACTTTTTATACATGTATAAGCATTCAATGGCTTCAGCGAAATAAGTCATTACTCGACTGAAAATTTCATAAAGTACGATGAACATATAAAGAAAATTAAATACTACTGTAATCCTAGCCCGATCTCGATTTCATCCTTGCGAAATTTTGTACATAGTATTTGCATAAATGATTTATTTATTGATTAAGGGACGGTGTGTGAATCTCTAATCTATGGTGCGAATGTATAGCGATTGTAATCAATTCTTGAGCGCAGCGCAAGCCTCCCTTCGGCGTGCATTGCGAGTTCTTAAGATGTTGTGAACGGAATCAGCTCTGAGCATGCCATTTCTTGTGTAATATTAGTGCCATATTTAAAATCGCATCAAATGAACGTGTAAATATAGTCCAAGTTATTATTATAAATAATTTACCTAAAAGTATCTAATTCATTTTGAGATTAAAACGAAACGAATTTATTCTAGATAGGCGAAACAAACGAACAAGAATTAACATTTAACAAAACCAAGGCTATTGAACTAAAAGATAACTTATGACGACACATTCGAATGATACTGTGTGCGTTATCTAATGCGAAAAACCAACTATTGATAAATAATTGAAAGAAAATCATTGACAAAGATATGTATGTTGTGTTGCTTTACTTAATATTATATCATTGTGACTGATTGATCTATGTTTATAAAGAAAATTGCATTAAGTATTCAATGAGAATCTGGGCAAGAACGATTTGTATAAAGATAAAAACATAGGTGGATAACGATTACAGAAACTATATTGTACGAATAATTATCCAATGTGTACCTTGCCATACATTATTCATCAAAAGATACATTTACTAAGCCAAGCCACCGAAAATTATGTTCCCGAACGTCTAGAATTTAAGAAGAGATGAGAACACTAATGAAACCCAATATCAAACCAATAATACTACCAAAGAAACGATAGAAAGATAAAGTAAAGAAATCGAGAAATATGAACAAAAGACGAAAACCTAGATATTAAGTAAAGTAAATAAGAAATAATGATGAATATATTATATTTTTATCCGCCTGCCATTATATAATTAAATATCGTAGTATATTTTGTGTGCTGATTGTTATCTCTGGATTATAAACACGTGGAACTACAAAATAAGATGCGCGACGCCGACGAATGCGGATTTAAACAGAATACCATTCATTGTTATGTCAAAATGTGCTAAGTGCGACTGAAGCAAACGAAATAACATATGTATTAACTAATTTAATGTCGATATATGTTCAATAACTATGTCCATAGACCATGTAACCAAACTCGCTGGTAACTGTTCATTTATAAATTCACTAATTGTTTATCAAAACGAAGCTAGAACCATACTAGAAGCATACGCAAAATTGCGGATTGATGCGTCTTGCAACTCTCCGCAATTGTATGTTGATTATATTGTTTGATGGAACGAATATGTGTCATGATTAATTCATCATTAGTCGATCATTATTGTAACCACTGTAAGAGAGGAAAGCGGACTTCGTCGGATATCCATTTAAACGGCAAACGCAGTGCATAACAATTTGCAGCAAACTAGATTTCATAACGTTTATTAAAAAACATAAACTTACAAAAATATTTTACATATTTACCAAAACACGCAGCATACATACGATAAATGTGGTCTCATGCTTCTTGTTTTTACTTTGACGAGAAAATGATTTCGAACGGAAGGCGTTCGTGTGACAAACGCACGCAGGATTTTTGTAGCTTTAAATATTTTGTTCGTTGTGATGCCGAATGTTCTCTTTGTATATTATATGAAAATCAGAATGTAGCAAGACGGATGCTGAAATGAATGCTGGAAGGTATTGCATGCTTTCCATATAGTGAAGGAAGAAAAGGTTTATAAGACTTAATGGGATGTCATCATGTTGAGTATGACGAACAGAATTGTAATGATGTTGAGCTGGGGAATTGCAGGCGTTGAAATGCGCGAAGGATATCGATTTTCATTATTTGTCAATAATATGTATAAAATGAAAAAGAAATTGACGCAAAAAAACAACAAAACTTTAAAATTTCAAACAATGGAAACACAAGTCATTTAACGAGTATTATAAATGTTTTTAAAATAAAGAAATTGTTTTATAAAAAAAACTTTGACTGTTATTCCTACTCTTTCATGCATCTAAATCTTAAATCGGCAGGAACTTTAATATTTAATGTAAAATTCCGAAGCTCCTATCTGCATCATTTAGAGATGGCGCTAGCATGAACTAAAAATCATAAAATAGAATTGTATTGTTTATTTCTATATTTATCAGCAAACGCATTCGGCACGAGAATTGCGTTTGTTTTTAACACAATTTACACTTTCTTATCGCATTCGCCGCGCGGAATGCAACGCATGAGATGCCCATTCCTTGTTTAGTTTGGATCGCAGGTATCGTGTCTATTGCAATTCGTGCACAAAGTCGCATGTCATCGACGCGCCGCCGGCTTTGCGCATATATTGCTATTCGCACACAAGGTCGCGTGAAATCGACGCACTGGTTTTGCGCATCTATTGCTTTTACCTGCGGGGTTCGCGCAGCAGGTACAAAGTCTTATCGTGAACTGTTGCATTCTTGCTTGCGCGGTTTCGGCTAGCGCTATCGATGGATTGCAGTCGTCCAGTTTCGTGCCGGTCGCTGACGTTTTCAGACGTGTTTCGCGCGACTCGTATCGGTTTATCGGACCATTTTCTACATTCGCATTATATTCGATCATCAATCGGCTTAGTTGTAACGTGCATCTGCAGTGTTAATGATTAATTGTGCGTTTAATGTCAATAAATGTGTTTTTGTTCGCTTTTGATGTTTATACATCAAATTACAAGAATGCTGCGGTTTTATTGCTGGTTGTTGTGTAACACTATGGGCTGCTAGCTCATTTGGATACATATTGCTGCCATATTGTTTCCTGTCATTAGAAGAACCTTTCGTGTTTCAGTAAGTAACTTTTATCTGACCATTGCGATACTCAGCGCGGAATGTTGTAGATTTAAGTTTATTTCTTTACGTTTTATTGCTTTTCCGCAATGCTACCAAATCACAAAGTTCTTTCTGGCGGAAAATTAATAATGGGAATTTGAAGTTTTATTTGGAAAATTATCAATAGGACATTTTACTTAACTTCTTATCTTCGTAAAATGAATATATTTGATGTACCTAACATTTGACAATCTGTCAGCATAAGAAATCAGAATTACATTAATCGAATTTTAATTTTTAATTAATTTTAATACTTAATCTAAATTCCGAGATGGCAGTAGTAGGTAAAAAGATAAAAATAGGAAACTAGACTTGAATTGTTTATTTCTGTATTCGACAGCAAACGTGGGCATTCGACAAGAGAATTGTGTTTGTTTTGAACACAATTTACACTTCCTTATCGCATTAGCCGCGAGGAATGCAACGCATGAGATTCCCCGTATTCTAGTTTTTTTTAGCCGGTATCGTGTCTATTGCAATTCGCGTACAAGGTCACGTGTCATCGACACACTAGTTTAGTGCATCTATTGCTTTTACTTACGGGATTCATGCAGCAGGTACTGGGACAGGAACTGTCGCGTCGTTGTTTGTTTATAATTCACTTATATTTTTCGTTTAAACTTCTGCGTCGTTCATTAGATTGTATTTACGTAGTTTTTTTTATCACGTTCCACCGCGTGTTGCAATGACACAAGATCGCGTTTTAATCCGCTCCTCTCTACCTCTTTTAAATTGCTAGATATTCGCAATCGAAGGAAACTCTCAAAAAATAAAATGTCAATTTTTAGCACTTTTAAACACAATTTCAAATTTCTTACACCCCGAATTTTAATTAGTTTATTATTCTTGTCTTATAGAGAATTTTACAAACTGTCATAATCTTTGATCGGCTGGGCGCTAGCGCTTTCAGTTTAAAAGATATTTGCTACCGAAAATTCTCAAAATTACATGATGCTGCATATTTTGCAATTAATCGCAATTGTACAGTTGAGCCTTATTCGGTGTACTGTAGCAGGGTAGCGATACAAGTGACTCGTGTTCAGGATACCGTATGAGGCTAGCGGTAGATGTGACTCCCTTTCAGGGCACCGTACGAGAGTAGCGGTAGAAATGACTCGTGTTCAGGGCACCGTACGAAGCTAGCGGTAAAAGTGACTCGTGTTCAGGATACCGTATGAGGCTAGCGGTAGATGTGACTCCCTTTCAGGGCACCCTACGAAGGCAGCGGTGGATTAATGTATAGCTGACTCTCATTGCTCTATTTGCCCATTTTATCTTTGAATTTTTTTTATATTTTAAATTTCCAATTTAACTTGCCTATCTTATTGAAAATTTTCCGTAGATTAAGAATTTTCAATCCGCTCCTCTCTATCTTTTTTAGTTTTTGAGATATGTGCAATCGAAGACCTCTCAAAAAATGAAAATGTTCACTTTTTAGCACTTCTAAACACGATTTCAGAATCTTTACACCCCGAATTTTAATTATTATTTAATTATTTGTCTTATCTTATAGAGAATTTTCCAAACTTTTATTGTCTTTGATTGGTTGGTCGCTAGAGCTTTTAGTTTAAAAGATATTCGCCACCGAAAAGGTCGCGTGCCATCGACGTGCCGCATTGCGCATCTGTTGCTTTTACATGCGGGGCTAACGCAGCAGGTAAAGAGTCTTACTGTGAACTGTCGCATCGTTGCCTGCAAAGTTTCGGCAAGCGATATCGATAGATTGCAGCCAGTTTCGGGCCAGTTGCTAGAGTATATAGACGTATTTCGCGCGACGCGTATCGTTTTATCGGAGTTCTATTTTCTACATTCGCATTATATTCGGTCATCAATTGACTTAGGTGTAACATGCGTCTGCTGTGTTTGGTGAATGATTAATTGTTCGTTTAATGTCCGTAAATGTTTTGTTTTTGCTCGCTTTTGATGTTTATATTTCAAATTACAAGAGTGCTGCGGTTTTATTGTCGGTTATTGTGTGACGTTGTCGGTCAATCCGATTCATATTTCTGCCCTGTTGTTTCTCGTCGATATGAGGTCCTTTTGTGCTTGAGTAAGTACCTTTTATCTGACTATTTTGATACTCCGACCTTAATGCTGGTTTTTCTCCGATGTGTGAATATAATATTATTATATTGTGTCATAGAGTATAAATTAAAGCTATATTCCGATTTGATAGACATTATTAAATTGCTTATGATTGGTATTTTCATGCAATATCAACTTTGTTGCATATTTGATAAAATGTGTTTTGAATTTAAACCGGCCGTTACTAGATAGTCAGTTAGATGGCACTCGCGTTAAATATTGTTTGTTGGTGGTAGTGAGTGCACACCGTGTCCGTGTACGATCACGAGATTTCGCACAAGAGATAAGTTTGTTTACCTGCAAATATCCAATCTTTAATTCTTGGAATACAATTACATCTTGCAGTTTATATTGGCATCGTAAATTTAAGCAAGTATTCTTCAATTCTTAAATCATGAATGTAACTAACAATTTTACATTAGGTGGAATAGTCACTACATAGTATAAAGTAAAGTCGCTTTTTTTCCGGTCCCTTTGTGAGCTTAAATCTTTGAAACTACGCAACGGATTTTGATGCGGTTTTTTTTAATAGATAGAGTAATTCAAGAGGAAGGTTTGTATGTATAATAACATCCATTAAATAGTGGAGAAGTACTGTTATTTTTGAGGTTTCTAATGTGATATCGTAAATACAAAGTTTTCGATTATTCCCGTCTGCTCTTTGTGCGATGCTTCGTAGCTTCCCCCTCCAAGCATAGACGTGTGTATGTGTGTACGTGTGGGTTGAAGTTGACCGGTAGATGTTTTTGTTTGGAGAAGGAAAGTCGCTTTCTCTGTCTGTCCCTTTGTATGCTTAAATCTTTGAAACTGCGCAACGGATTTTTTTAAAATTGCGGACGTAGCGTTTGCGGACGTAGCGTTTGCGGCCGTACAGGCCGGCCGCCCGGTGCGGCAAGAGCGTGCCTATAAATAGCGCGTCTGAGGCCGCGGTTTTCCCTGTAGCACTTTGAATTTAGCAGCGAAGATATTCCAAAGACAGCAGGAAATCTTCATGGTATAGGGAAAGGTGGATAGTTTTCCTCCAAATTTAACGCGTGCGGGCCACGGGCAGTAATGAATAAATCAAAACTACTGGATCGATTTTAATCACATAGGCTATATATTTTAAACCCGTGCGAAGCCGTAGCGGGCCGCTATGTTTTTATATACAACGTTCACAGTTTTTCTGTAGTGTATTTAGTATCAGTATTGCAACCGTGCGAAGTCGGGGCGGGTCGCTAGTTTATTATAAAAATCACCTTTATCTTGTTTTCTGTGTTTGGGTGCACCAGTAACAAACAAATTAAGGTTTCTTTTGACGTGATAACGTCTTTAAAATCGTTTTAGTCGGGTGACATGTTCAGAAACTTGTGTCGCGAGGCCTCACGAGGCCGATCGCAGGTATACCCCCCTCTCGTTATAACCAGAGAGAGACGGACCGATCTCCCGTCTCATCTCGAGCGCTGCCAGTCATTCCGTGAAACTTGTGACGCGGAATCCACGCGAGCGGAGGCAGGCATAGCGTTCGAGTGAGTTGACCGATCTTCCGTCTCTCTCACTCTAGCGGCATACAAACGAATGGAGATTTTCTCGTGCGGTTAAGTTTTCGTTGAATGTTTTAGGCTCCCCGCACACTACAAACTTTTTATCGGCCGATAAAAAGTTTGTAGTGTGCGGGGAGCCTAACAGTAAAACAAAATGTGAAGTGCAAGTGAAGTGTTACAACAATTGCAACAAACAAAACTTATATCACCAATAAGACGTTATCACGTAAACATCTCGATCGTAAACCTACTTTACAAACAACCATTTTTATTTAACAATCAATGTGGAAAATCGCAATGTGCCTAAGCTTGACCAGATTGTTATAGACCAGGCGTTGAGCCAATAGTGAACCACTTCTTTTTTTATGTATGATTTAATAATCATCACAACTTTTCATCAGTCTACAAGTTTTAAGTACCTATATGAAATGTTTTTGTTTTAACTTATATTTTCTTTTAATTTCAGTGCTTGCCGTACCTTTGTAATCCAAAGAGTGCTATATTGGTAAGTTTATAA